TACGATTAGACTTGTCTTGGCTTTTGCAGTATCGTCAAATTGGAATATGAGATAACTAGGCGTGAAAAATGCTTTTCTCCATGGACATCTCAAGGAAACTATCAAGATATATGGAGAAACCGCCTGGATTGAAAATTCTAAACTAGGGAACTACGTGTGCAAACTTCACAAATCTATGTGGGCTTCAAACAAGCACCAGGGGCATGGTTTTATCGTTTATCTAAATTTTTTATTCAACTTGGATTTATTTGGTAAAGCCGATTCATCAATGTTTATTTTAAATAAACATTAAATTACCATATTAATGTTAATTTACATAGACGATATTGTACTTGCACGAAATGATGAAAAATATATTGAACTCGTCATGAAACTAAGCTTGGAATTTGCATTGAAGGACTTGGCGAGTTCCACATTGAAGTGAGACAATTTCCAGGTTGCATTACATAATCTCAAAGCAACTCCACTGTGGATCTGCTCAATAGTTCCAGATGCTAGAATGCTCACATTTTAATACTCCAATGGCTCTCAAACTGCAAACAACTCCTCGAGACTCAAACCCAACAAATGCATAAGACTATCAAAGCTTAGTGGGAGCTCTCCAATACCCAACGTATACACGGCCAGATATTGTTCAAGCAGTCAATAAAGTGTGCCAACAACTACAAGCTCCTACTGAAGGCGACAAGAAGGCAGTAAAGAGGATCCTTAGGTACGTTAAAGGAACCTTGCACTTTGGAATAACTTTTTTGTCAAAAAGCCCATATAAGCTCTATGTCTATTGTGATGCTGACTGGGCGGGATGTCCAGATACATGGAGGAGCACAACCAGTTGAATCAATTTGGGGGCTAGTTGCATTTCATGGTCGTCTAAGAAACAACCAACCGTCTCAAGGTCTAGTTCCAGAGCTGAGTACATGTCAACGGCGTCCACAACATCAGAGTTAATGTGGATGACATTCCTCCAAGATATAGGTATCAAGTTAAACCAGCCACCAAAATTATTTTGTGACAACAAGGGTTCTCTACATGAATGTCAATCCAGTCTTCAATTCCATGCTCCAAGAAACATATTGAGATTGACTATCATTTTGCCCTTGAAAAAATTACAACAAGAACGCTGGTTAATAGATATGTTCCCTCGAATCAACAAACTGCAAATATATTCTCTAAGCCACCAGCCAAGTTACCATATCGATTCTATTGCGACAAACTAGGAGCAATTCATTCCCTCCAGCTTGAAAAAAGGGTTAAAAGGAAGCAGACAGAAGAATATCCGTTCCTAAGGAAAGTTCACAAGTTTTCCTTACCAATATTACTCAATGTATGGTCATCTCTAGGAATTTAGCAAAGCAAGGATTGCTCAATATACTGTCCAACTTTAGATATGAAAAAGTGCACAACCTGTGTTATGTTTGTGTAATTAAATCGCCCTATCTTTTAATTCTTAGCACTCATATTTCTAACCTTGTTATACTATAAGGCATACGCACACTCAATTTTTGTGGACATGTAAAGTATGTGGAGCACCAGTCGAAGCAAAATGGAAAAACGACAAATAGTTTTATACAAATAAACAAAAGAGGAAGTGAAAAGAAAAAAATTATAAAAAGAAAAGAAAAAAGAATAAGAATATTAAGAAAATAAAATATAAAACCTCTCCCGTACTTGAATTATTTTAAAAAGTTTTTTGTTTTCATTTTGTACGTACATTTTTTTGGTCGAACGTGCTATCTGATCCCTTTTTAAATATCGCTCTTCCATTATCTAAATCGCAGCCATAATTTCAACCATAATATTGAATTATGAAAGAAGATAATAATTTTTAACTCGATTATTCATATCCTATTCAAATTTTCTTTAATGAGTTCATCGTCCATTCAAAGTAGTTATGACTACAAGTTAAGTGTAAATGTAAATTTTAGGGAGGGATTATTAGTTTGGTGCGTTAGTTATGCCTAATTACAGATAAATGTAGAGACGAGATGTGGACTATGGACACCATCTTTAAATGTCTTTTATAATCTCACTTATTGCCATTTTACTTCCAATTTTAATTTGTTATCTTTAATTTTAAAATCCAAACCCCAAGTTGAACAAAATTGCAGTGTTTTAATATTCCGAAAACTGTTGGATTTTTTTAGAATTTTTTTTTCCTTCGAGTTTTTATTGAAAAAAATATTGTTTCCTTTATTCCACGTGATTTTTTTTTATCTTGTTTCTATCTTTGTGGTGTTTCTAGAATTTGGCATCCACCCTTATAAATACTAAACTGTTTTCACAAGTTTTGTATTATTGAAATATAGAATAACTGTGTAGGTACATATATTGTATTTGTTTTCTCCATATTAGTCAATTGAATAAAATACTCCGTTCTTCTGCCAATCATTTTTTTGTCTTTTATCTTGTTGTTTGTTTGCGACCATATACCCATGTTCTAAAAAACGTGAAAAAGCGCCGCTTAGGCGCGCCTAGGCGCGACGCGCGACCAAAACGTGTCGAATTCGGGAAATGATTTTTCTTTTTTTTTTAAATCTGTTTTTTTTTATATATTAAAAAATTTTTTTTTTTTATATAAAAATATATTTAATGCCTTAAAAATACGAAACGCATTATGACGCTTATTCTTCGCATTAACACGCTTAAACTTGTGATTCTTGATTATCGGCTTCGACGCTTCGCAACGTATTACGCATTTTAGAACACTGCCATATACTTCATATCGTGTCATAAATATTATCTCAATCCGTTTTATTATCCAATAAGCAGTATTAGAGTTATTGGCTGTGATTTGTTTGAGGTTTTTATTAGTGATGGTAGTCATGACATATGAAATTTCGCTCTTGAATTGTAATACAAGATTCTCGTTATGACAAGTGAATATGCGAGTTGTATTCGCGCTGGTGGATTTGGATAATGCATTGTTGAGATTTGACAAAATACCACAATTTGCTCCACGTGATTTTTGATTTCGTTTCCATCTTTATATATATATATATATGATTTTTACTTACTAATTTATTTATTTTTAAGTAGTATCATCATTTTAAATACGATTTAAATTTTAAAAAATATATATAAAAAAAGTATGGAATGGAGTAAGTACCTTTGCCATCCTAAGATCCGGAGCTATGCGGAGAGGAAGATAAGGGGAGACACAATAAAACTAAAGGATGACCAATAAGCCGGGATGAGACAAGACAATGCAAAATCAACAAGGGTCGTGACTTGTGGGGGCCAAATCAGCTAAAGTTGGGAGCGGAAGTGAGAGCATAGAAAGTAGGTGGGGGTGGTTTGCTTTTTTTTTTTAACTTTCCTTCCACTTTTTATTTTAATTGGTGAAGAACTTCCATTGTAGTGAAATTCTCTAGGGTCAAAATGCTAACGAAACGAAAGTATAGCGTTTAAATTAGAGATGGCAATAGGACGGGATCGGAGCAGCCCTCTCTCTTGTCAACAATTTTTAGAAAGTGAAAATTAATATATTCTTAGTTATTGCCTTATTTACTTATTCATTTTCCAAATATAATTTATATTTCAAAATATCACAATAAAATAAAACGATCGTGAAATTTTATCATTTGAAAGTTTAAAATACAGTTAACTTTTTCATTTAATCATCTACTGTCACATGAAATCATGTCAAACTTCTTGTCAAATCCTTCTAACAAAGTAGCTTTATCCAAAATCAAAATAAGATTACAAGTGATATCAAGGTGGGCAAATGCCCCAATTCATCAACTATTGTGACAATATTAGGATGTGCATTTTTACATGGAGCTTTCCGATTCGAACTAGAATCAGATCGAACCAATTGAGCCCCCATTCTAGCTAAAATCAGTTCGGTTCTAGGTTTTGATTTATCTGATTCTTTGTTCTATCTACAGAACCAAAATTTTGATTTGGTTACAAAAATATTGTTTTTCTAATCTCTCAATAAATTATAATTTCAATATATTCACATGCATTCTTTATAATTGAGAGTTCTATCGTTTAAAATATAAAGAGCGAAAGTGAATTAAAAAAACATCCGTAATGGTTGCATTCTAATATTTACTTAAGGGATAAAACTGGGAATACAGAATATATTTCACAGGATTTTTTACAGGATTTTGATTTTCTCTCATATGGGGATGGGCCCCATGTGAATAAAAAATTGGCAAAACTCCACCCCACCCACCCCAATTGTGTGTTGCCTGTGAGTACAGGAATTTGAATCAAATTCCTGTACTTGTAGCATCACCCTTACTTATGCATGAAATCGAAAAGATTCGATGGCTCAATGGGAAAAGTAGGGATCAGACTAATGTGCAATCGATTCGCTTCCTTTTTTACCTTTAGATCCAAATTTCTATTCTCAAAATTTCTAATGAGAATCGGTTCGATCAATTTCTTAAGATACTTGAACTCGAATCATCTGTTGTCCACGTAAACGATATTTTGTAGTTTCTACTTTAGAATTAAGCCCCTATTGATTTGGATAAAAATCGATTTTTTAGTAAATTTTGATAAATGTTAATAAAATATATGATTGCATAATTGGAAAATGGTGAGTTTGAAAAAAGGAACTTGAATAAAAAGAAAAAGTCAAACAAGGATAAAATTTAAAATAAAATAACTTCGTGGGAGAAGGAGAATCTGATGTTGCAGGCGCGTGAAAACTCGAATTCTCTAACTATGGGGAAGTGAAGTTAATTTCGACGTGAAAATAATCCATTTCCAAAAGCAAGAATCACTAAAAGCAAGCTTCCATTCGGTTCCATCCCTTTCTTTCCCTTCTAAATCAAGCAATATCCATATGCATTTGTTCTATATATACAGTATACATACACTAACAAATCTTTGCAGTACATAACTCGTCACTTTCATTTCTGTTAAACACTGTTTTTCTCTTAAGATCCAAGCATAAAACGAAGAACGATATCTTGATGTGTTTCATCTGATTCTTTTTCCCCATAAATAGAATCCCGTTAACTGCTATTTTCTTGGGTTTTTGCAGTATGGGAAATTGCTTTGAAACGGCAAGGAAATCGGCGGCGGAGATTGCGCCGTCAGAGTTGATTAAGGGCTCTCCGGTCATCAAACTCTACGGCCCACCGAACAGTATTGCGACCTCATACATTCGATTTGCTCTCCTTCACAAGCCGGTTTCTCTCCAATTCATCCCCTCTGAGACCCACGAAACGCCGGTACTGATTTTCCAATCCGAAGTCGTTACCGGCTCCGTCGAGACAATGCTCCGTTACTTGGACGGAAAATTTCCCGACCCGCCATTGACAATTAGTACTAGCAACAATGTTGGGGGGTGGTACGGCGGAACGACGCCCATGGTAGTGTGGGTGGTGGTGTTGCAGCACCGGAGTTTGATGTGGCATCTGGAGAGGATGGTAAGGTGGGCGGAGGACTTGTCGGCGCGTGGAGGGAAAGCGCGTGGAGATCCGGCAATGGGGAGTCCAAGAATGGAGGTGAAAAAATTTGGGAGAAATTATTCACAGTTGCTTCAGATGTTGCTTGAGCATGCCCAAATGGAAGAGAAAGTCGTCTTTCCAATCTTGGAATCTGCAGATCGAGGTATATGATTTTATTTTTGTTAGATAACGTTACTGAATAAGAAAAGGACAATCTTTGTTGCCGAAGTTAAATGATGTTGTGTGAATGGTGTCTTTTATATTTACACTATGCTCATGAACAGTAGATCTACTTCTGTGTTTGATTATGTTTGATGTGATTTTTTTTATTTTTATTTTTTTGTGTGCGCGCTCGCTTGTAAAATATGGGGTATTCTGTTTCAATGATCTAGAATCATATGGATAGATTAAATTCTAAGTATTCCAATTGTGTAGTGCAGACAATGACAAGTTACTTGTTAAGGACAGAGTGTAGTAGTATCTTTCAAGTTGCGAATTTTTATTTCCATTGTAGAACATATTTTGTTCTTTAGTCTGTAGGAGATGAATAGAAAGATTTGAGGGGACAAAGAGTAGAAAGATGAACTTGCAGATGAATAGATAGATTTGAGGGGACAAAGAATCAACTTATTATGTAATTGACTCTCTGTAATGACAGAAATAGAAGATCGAATAGATGCAATTATATAACAAAAGTCTTTATGTGATCAGATGTTGAATTGATTGAATGTGGGCGAAAGGATAAATTTTTATATGAGATATTGTACCAAGAAACTTCAGATAAAAAGAAAGAGCAAGAATTTTTGGTCCCATGAAAGTGGGATTTGCAGTAGTTGGTAATTAATTGATCATCCCTTAAATTTAAACGACAAATTGCAGTGCAGATTGGCCTATAAAGTGGTGTAAACGTTTGAAGGACTTGAAGCCTGAAGGTCTAATTTACACTGTGCTCAAATCTTGACAATTGAACTTACTGCTGACAGTTGGCATAGTGGAGGGAACCAGTGAATAAAATTTATTTACTTGTTTACTCATTATATTAGGGTTGATAGTCAGTGTAAAACTTTTTCAAATATTATTACATGAATCTTTGTACACATTTTGGGCATCGCATGCTAGCAAGACACTTCAATGGAGACGGCATATGATAGTTGTTAAGGATCTAGTTGATTTATACTTTTCCTACAGATCGAGCAATGGACAGAAAAAGTGATGGTGTTGGATTCATTTAGCCGATCCAAATTTATTGAGAAAAAACTTAGGGGTTGTTCTCTTTGTGTTTGAGATTTTAGTTTTCAGTTTTGAATTCATTTTGGGTTTTGTGTTTTGAGTGTCCATTTTGAGTTGTTGAAAATGTGTTCTTTTTGTCGTTTTGAACAATTGTTTTCGAAAATTAAAAAAATGAAAATGTTTTCTCTCTCTCTCTGGCGCTCCCGGCGACCTGCACTTCCGGCGATCTCCCTGCGAGTGGCACTCCCTGCAAAGCTGATGTTCTCTGTGCTTCTTTGTCTTTTTTTTTTTTATTCGGTGGTTGGTTGCGTGGTGTGTGGTGGTTGGATGCGGTGGTGGTGGCGATCTGCAGGTTGTGGCGGTGGTGGTTCTATGTAGATTTTGGCGTTTTTTGTGGTGGTGGATTTGGCAGTTGTCTGGTGACGATTTTTGTGATGGCGGCTGTGGTGACGGATCTGGCGGTTGTGTGGTGGTGGCGGCAACGGTGGTGATTTTTGTGGTGGTGTGGTGTAGGTGGCGATGGTGGTGGTTGGGGTGACGTTAAACTGAAAACACCAAAAATGTTCAAAACGACCTTTTTGTCATTTTCGATTTTCTTTGTAAATTTTACTCATTTTCGGAAATTTGTTTTTGAAAATAGGCAAGTAAACGTGTTTTCACAGTTTTGAAAAATCGAAAACTGAAAACGGCAAAGAGAACAGCCCCTTAGTTTTTCGCTCTCTCTATCTTTTAGTTGGTATTACAACTGTGGGCTGAGAAGAAAACTCGAGTAATCCATGAGTACATGCAAGTTCTCAGTGGAAACAGGAAACTTTGACCTCAATTTAACAGTTCTTAACTTCTTTCGGAGTATGGATTTGCCACTTGCATGATAAATCAATGATTATTATGGCCTTTGGTTGAATGAAACTTTGCAAGTTACTGACAGTTGAACGCATATGATGCAGGATTGTCCAAAGTTGCAAACGAGGAACATGCTAGAGACCTACCTTTAATGAATGGTATCAAAGAAGACATTAAATCCATTGGAGTTTTGGATTCAGGGAGCCCTGTGTACCTAGAGTTCCTCTCCAACCTTTCTGCGCGGCTCAAAAAATTAAAGGTGAGTTTTGCTTTATTTGAATTGAACAGGGGATTGAACAATAGGAAGTAGGACGAGCCTGCACATTGGATAATGATTTACTGTTGACATTGAAGACTAGACTTAAATAAATGTTAACTTCTCTAACAACTTAAGCTTTTGGACAAAGTAATTCAATATCATATCAGAGAATAGAAAAGTCCATGTTCACTGCCACTCATTTATGGAATTGGTCTTTGATGAAAATAAAAATAAAAATGAATTAGGCTACACGTGAAGAGGTGTGTTGAAAACCAAACATAAATAAGTAAATGTGCTCCCTCTCTAATAGTTTAAGCTTTTATATTGTTTAACGGTTGGATCATTCATGTGTATCTCTGTTATGTCTTTACAGGACCATTGCAACGAACACTTTGAGGAGGAGGAGAAAGAGCTATTGCCATTGATGGAGGCAGTGGAGTTGAGTAAATTGCAACAAGAGAAAGTAATGCAGCAATGCATGGATGTGATGCGTGAAACTCACTCGCACCTATTTCGCTTTTTTATGGAAGGTCTCCGGCCGCTGGATGCCATGCAGTACTTGGACATGATTAAGAGATATTGTGACAACGTTCGTGTATCGTTGATGCTCCATATGATTGTTGATGCTCCACATTGATGTGTTTGTTTTGCTGCTCCATTGCCCTAATTAATAATGGTAACACCAATCTTGTGCTAATTCGTATGTAATCATTTTTGTTTTCTTAATTTCTGGGGCTGTCCTGTGGTTTCCAAGTTGAGACTTTATCCATTAGATACTCTTGTGATGTTGCTTGTTGTAGGCGAAGATAAAAAAAAAAAAAAGGCAGTTGTACTTGCTACAGCTAGCCTAGTTTGTAAATTCTGAAGTATTACCCCAATTGTCTTAAGCATTAGAGAATTTTCTCAATTGACAAATGTAATCTCATTTTCATATGGTGTTTTTGTTTCTCGTGTGTAAATGGGTTTATTTTTCTACATATCATCACTTTATTTTTTAGTTCAGGTAAAACAGAAGATTAAAAGTTGCTATTAATTCAAGGAGCCTTATCCGTTTCTATCTCTAACATTCTACTTTCTACTGTCCTTTTTAAATTGGCCGACATTTCCATGTGACAGACTTACAAAAGCACAAACCAACTGTACATAGTCAATCCATGATGATACAAGCTAGGTGCAAACTGTTCTGTACAATTATATAAAACGTTATCACTTCAAGCTCTTTTTATATGGAGTATTCTGCTTGGCCAGGGCGACATGGGCCTCGCCCCCCTGGATGGCGGGGCTGTGTGGCCCTAGCCAAATATCAGAGTTCTTTTCCTATTTTTCAAGAACGGAAATCTTTTTAGACATAAAGTACAAGGAATTCCAATATGGTTGCAGCCAAAGCAGCAGATCCAATGCTGCAGCGTTTGGAATCTCCGCCATTGTGGGGGCGGGAGGGGTGGTGGTTATTGGCAGCACCGGCACCAGCAGCATATAAAGGGATGGTTGAACCACCCTGAGTATAAGGGGAGTGTGATCCATCACCACTCGTGCCTCCATTAGTCGCACCAGGTTGCCCTCCACTTGAGCCTCTGCCACCAGTTGCATGACCAAATTTAGCTAGATGAGCTATGCCTCTTCCGCCCCTAAAGTTATCTGAAAGCGTGAACTATTAGAGATGAGAGAGACTATTTATATTTCAACTTCGACATGATCTTTCTTGTGCAAATCAATTTTTTTTTTAGTCATGTCTTAACATAAGAAAGTTTCATAAAAGGACGCTGAGACTTGAATTCAAAATTTTTATTACGTTTAATATCACGTCAAACTGTTTCATTTTAAAGTTTAAACTAGAATGTTGGGCTTAAAATCAAAATCAGACAAGAATAACAGAAAAAGACCTGGGAGATCTTTGTTATTTGTTTGGTCCAATTCAAGACATCAAATACACCCTTGAATTTCTTACAGACCAATTTCTATATGCTCCCCTCCCCAAGCAACTGAGAAAAGGAAAATAGCATGTACAAATAGATAAGAAAGGACTAACTCTAGGTACGATGCTTCACGCACTTAACTATATGTCAAGTATCAGTGACGGAAGCAGACATTTTGAATTAGATGGGCACTATTTGTCCGGGTTGGAAATGAGGAATATGGTCCAACTTAATTCGCAGACTGCGTTGAGTTTAAATCACAAATAAAATTATTTTATTATGAAGCAAAATAATTTACACAATGTAATTAGATAACATACTACAACCAAAACAGTCCTTATATTAGTTCACTCAAGCAAGCACCTTGGTCTACCACAAAAATATACTCACGCCTCATCTATAGTTTCTCCACTCATTCTCTCTCACACACCATCTCCTTGCTTCTCTCTCTGTCTTCCTTCACACACTCTTTCTTCCATATACACACACAATACATACTAGAACTATATTTATAGATAACAATGTTGGTGGGCTACACTTCTGTAAGTTTCTCATGTGGCGGTGGATTAAGAACAGTAAACTTCTAGATAATTTCATCATGGCGGTAATTTATATGAAACTGGATTCTTCTTTCTTCTTCTAGACTTGGATGCATCTGTGCAAATTTATTTTCTTCTGAAAATCCAAGTTTTCGCCCGTTTAAGAACTTTTGCCCTTCAAAAATCTTTGGACAAATATATATTCAAAGGTGTCCTCGTCATTATTCTGGAATTTTAGAGTCCAGAAATTTTCCCAGAAAAAAAAAATCTAATAAGATATTTTAATCTTTAGGGCAGCCAAAGAAATTTCCAGAAAGAAACAAAAATTAAGCGGAGCCATGCATCTTTCTAATAAAAGATCGACTAGGTGAATCTCTATCGTCATCTCGTTCCTTTCATCCTACGTGATCTGGACTGAAAATCCAAGAAATCAGCAAGACAGAAACAAACAGAAAAAAATATATATATAGGGCATGAAATATACCTAAAGACGAGTTCTTTCCAAGAGGAGTAGTGGATGCAGCAGAACAAAAAGAAGAGATGAACAAGACCATGATCATCAGTTCTTTGATTCCCATTTTTCTTTCTATTCCTAATATTTCCATGTAAATTAACAAAGGATTCTATTTTTCCTCCACTCCAATGAGTTATTATATGTGAACTTCTGCTTTCTCAATTCTTCGAAGTTATCTAATCAACTTTTTTTTAAAGTAATTCGAGATCATGTTATTCAGTACTGTTCTTAAAAGCAACCTTATCCTTCACAAAAGATTGATACTTGGCTTTATGTTTTTTTTTCCACTAGAATATTTAGCCGCGTTTTTCCTGTAACTTATTCGCTGTAAATATTCTCCGATAAGGTTTGGATACTATAACATTATTCCTTACATATTTAGCTATGTCTAATATAGCCATATTTAATTTTAATTTTGTTAAAATTAATTCAATTTATTTGACGTGAATTCAAAAAATCATATTCTTTTCCATTTGTCAAAAATTCCCTAAATTAATTTTTTAAAATATTATATTAATTTTTATTAACAGCTTTTATAAAAAAAATATAACTTAAATTTCTTCCATCGATTGAATTAGTTATTTAAAAAAAATAACATCCATATTTCCTTATTGAAATGGTTGTTTCACACATATTTTAACAATTAAATAATATATATGTTACTATATAATTTGATAAAAAAATATTTTATGTGATATTTACTCATATTTAAAAGTTGTTTTAATTGGTAGTTACATATGAATACCCATGATACCTAAGTTTAGATTTTAAAAAAAAGAATATCAAATGATAGGGTGATTATATTTCAACTAAATTTTTTATTAAATAAACAACGTTATAACTGTAATAAAGGTTTATAAATTTTGCTCATTTTCACACTTAAAACTCTCAATTATTTTCCGCTATAATCTTATCATTGTATGGAACTAAAAAAGTTATTATAAGATTAAAATATGCGTTGAAATTCTAAATCATCAACACACAACATTAACAGATTAAAAATTCTAATATACAAAAAAAACGTACGATGAAGGAGGGTATGCTAGTTTTCATTCCACAAATAAGGTCGTAAATGTTTTTTTTTTTCTTTTCAAAAATCAGGTATTTATTAGAAAAAAAAATTTAACTAATTTAAATCTTTATTAATATTTCATTTAGTATTTTCACGAAAATTATCTGAAATTTAATTTTTAAAATTCAAACTCCTCCAATTTCTATAAATCTTATCTTCTTTACCGTGTTGTGAAGAGAGAAAAATTTTCCTTTCTATTTAGAATATCTTCTACATTCTTGTTCTTATTCATTTTTCTCCACCATATTTCTTTCTCGATTACGATTTTATATAGCAAAATATCTATCTATGTTTCATTTCCACCCGAGCCTCGATATTGAAATCCTAATTACAACAAACAATCAAATACTTCAACGGCAGTAACCAAAAGCGTCGATCATTTCAATAAATAACTGTTATTATTAATGGAGATCAAAAATATAATTTACACAAATAGAGACATGGGAATATGAATTAGCCAAGAGAGTTGAATTTTTCTTATTGTAAGATGCGATAACCAAAATGAGTTAAATTTACTTAATTGGGTCGAGATAAAATATTAAAAATAAAGTTAATTACTTAATCAAAACGAATCAGAATGACAAAAGGGTTAATTACTCAATTGGCTTAAGAAGAAATATTAGAAGAAATACTCCCTAAAAATAAAGGTTGAACATATTCTTGATTCTGGGTCTAGATTTAGAACCGAAACTAGCTAGTCTATTTTCTTTTGTAAGAAGCTCAACCATTTGGAAATATACTCAGAACAATATCTAATGATTCCGGTTCTTTTGCCTACCTCGAACTATAAATGAATGAGTGGATTCTTTGAACTACCTATTAAAAAAGGCTAGAAGAGTTGTTCCTGTGATGCTCACGTGAGTAAACAGATAGAGAGAATATATGCATGCAGAGAATATATGCATAATCTAAAGCTTACCTTAATAAATGAAAGAATTAAGTATATATAGAGTACATGAGTGGTAATCCTATAAGAATTAAGATACTGTGAAGCACTAGATTGACAAATTTGATTGGACTCCTCATGAGTAAGGACCCATAATGTGGCTAGAACACAAAAGAGTGGTATGGCTTTGAATGTAAAGCTCAAGAAGAATATATTATTCTACTTGTACATTTAAATTCACACCCTGGATGACATAATGTACAAGTGACATTTCATCACTAGCTCATTATGCCACACTAGAGTGTACACGTGACAAAGCTCAGGATGGATTATAATGTTACAGAGGTCACCCCTCAAGGACAGCACATGGTTAAGCCGAGCAAATGGCCGAAGTTCCCTATCAAGAATGTCTATCGAGGTCGGATTTCCCTATCAGGGGATGCATGTAGATGTGACGTTGTGTCTCTTTATGAGATTATTGTACGTAGCTATACGGATTGTCCTTACATTTTATTCTTATTTTATGAATTTACTATTCTCATGAAACGCACTTGGACTATCCGTATAATAGACGTGCCTAGTAAATTGAATATTAATATGCATTGGGTTTTATTAAATCCGAAACTAAATTATATAATATATTTAGAGCCTGTCCGGGAGAACTTTTTTGCCATATTTTAATCCTATTTTAGACTGTTGCTCACCCACCAGCCGGAATTGTTGACTTTGGTGTCTCACTGTGCAAGCAAAGTTGACGACACAAACTTTCAGATCTTCCGTCTGAAGTTTGAAGTAGCCCTCCTGGAATGTGCACACCAACACCAATCCTGACTCTTCTTAGTAAAGCAGTCCTCCTGAAATGACCGAACTCCAATCCTGACTCTTAACACAGTTTATCTCCTGTAGATCTTCCCCAAAAACTTCTCGTTCTTCAAATTCTTCCTTGATCTTCTACGCAACCAAGTTGACGAAACAATCTTGCATCGGACTAGAGCGAAGATTCCAATTCAGTGTTTGATTTGATGGCTTTGATGTTTTCAATGAGTAGAACGCATGTGAATTGAAGGATTGAATTTTTGATCATGTGTAGGATGAATTCTTTCTTGAATAGAATGTGTTCAATCTCTTGTTCGCAAAAAACGCAACGCCTCTATTTATATGTTGAACAAATCAGGTTGGATGGGCTAAAAAAAAGTCTCGAAAATCGAAATTAGGTTTGACGAAAAAACATAGTCGCTCGAGCGAGGAGCATACTTCGCTCGAGCGAAGGGCATGTCGCTCAAGCGACATGTGGGCGAAGGTCGAGCGATAGTGTCTCTGTTTCATCTGCTCGAACATCATTCCGGCGAGCAGCTAGCGAAAAATAGGCGTGAATCCTTCTTATTCCAAATATGAAAACCCGAACCCTAAGCTAATCTACCAACTATAAAACTTTACAATTCAGTCCCTAAACTTTTATAATTGTTCAAGTTGGTCATTTTGTTCACAAAATTGCCAATACAATATATAAATCCAACAACTTTGAATGTAGAGCCCAAGAAGGATATATTTCCATGCAAATTAACAAAGGCTTCTATTTTTCCTCCACACCTGAGTTTTATATGTGAACTGCTGCTATCTCAATTCTTCCAAGTTGTCTAATCAACTTTTTGTAAAGTAACTCGAGATCACGTTATTCAGTGCTGTTCTTAAAAGCAACCTCATCCTTCACAAAAGATTGATACTTGGCTTTATGTATTTTATTCCACTAGAATATTTAGCCGCTTTTTTTTTCCTATAACTTATTCGTTGTAAATATTCTCTAATAAGGTTTTGATACTATAACATTAATTCTTTACATATTAGGGATGGCAACGAGGTGAGGCGGGACGAGGTTAGAGCAACCTCCCCCGCCCCGTTATTTGTTTAAGACGGGGTGAGTCCCATGCCCCGTTTACTATCCCGTTAAATTTTTATTTTTTATTTTTTAAAGTTTTCCATAATTTATTTTTATTGCCCTCATTCATTAGATTTAAACATATAATTTTAGTTGCCATTTTCTATTAGAACAAATGAAATTTCGTGAAATTTTTCATTTAAAGTATTGAATTCTAAAAAAAAAAATTTAACGGGGCGGGGCGGAATACCTATCACCTGTACCCTCCCCGAGGCAAAGTTACCATTCCCGTCCTCGACCTGAATACCTGTTTAAGCCGGTAAGTCCTACCTCGTTCGGGGCGGGTCCCCACGAATATCAAGTTTGTTGGGATTTTTTGTCATCCTTATTTCCACATAATCGAAATCTTTAACATGGCTGATAAAAATCACTTGCAACTTTCATTTGACTTGAAATTGGTTAGTAATACTGTCCTACCGTTTAATTTTTTTTAATTCAATTGAAGGTAGCATTCAATTTTAGTGTCAACATTGACATTTTCGATCACGTGGGGACTCAAATTCATAAAGTAAAATAGGATGGAGGTTCATAACTTCAATTTTGAAGGTTGAAGACCCATGACCACACACGTAAAACTTTGGAGAGTACAAACCTAATTTCTCCATATTTAAATTGACATTTTCAATCACGGGGAGACTCGGATTCATAGATTCATATAATTAAATGGGATGGAAATTCAGAACTTCAATTTTGAAGGTTGAAGACCCATGACCACGTGCGTACAACTTCAGGGAGTACAAACCTAATTGTTTCATATTTAAATATGTGGAAATTATATCCCAACCTACTTTTGGAGATCCCAATTCTAAAATCAGGTAGGATCCTTTTTCTTTCAAAAATCAGATCTTTTATTTTAATTAATATTTGTATAAAATAAATATTTTTACTAATTATATATACTCCAAACCATAACCACCCCCACCGGCCCATATCATTCTCTCTCTACCTCTCATCTCTCTCTACCGTCCTTCTTTCTCTCCTTCCTTACCCATCAGCAGCCACGACGAGAAAGTTGTCACGGCAATGGAGCTGCTCCGGCAGACACTACGCCACTCTCCGGCGCTGCAGATCGAGCAGGAGAAGGGGTGGTGGTGCTGGTTCACGGCGGAGGCAGAGCGAATCAATTTTTTTTCTTAATTTGATTTCTTCGCACAGATCTGTGGAGTTGTG